GATTGGGGATTAGGATTAGGGATTAGGATTAGGGATTAGGATTAGGGATTAGGATTAGGGATTAGGATTAGATTAGATTAGATTAGGATTAGATTAGATTAGGATTAGATTGGGATTAGATTGGGATTAGATTAGATTAGGATTAGATAAGATTTGGATTAGATTAGATTAGGATTAGATTAGATTAGATTAGATTAGTTAAACAAAAAATAAAACAAATACAAAACACACACACAAAAAAAAACATTTTTCAAATCTATTTTGCACATAACTCTGATTTCCCAGACTTCCAAACCACCAACCCAAACCGCCATATAAGTATAACCTGAACCTTTGTATAATCAGATTCAAAAATATCAAAAATACAGTTTACACAAGTTTATCCAATTTTGGATCACAAGACCCAACAAGACCTGCAATTTAATCCATGCTCCGGTGCAACAGCTATAGGCTATCGAATGCTGGGGCCTTTTTTGTGATCATACCCACCAACTTGCCGAAGCGAGACACCAACACCAACCTGGCAGCAATGGGAAGCATCTCAGGCGGACATATGTGGTTGGGAAACCGCACAAGGCCGTGGCGGAAGTTTCAAAGGTAGGAAACATTAGGAAACCCATAGGGAGGTGAGATGCTGCGGTTCACGAATGGCAGAGCGAAATGATGGACCGAAAGTAGTTGATGCTCTGAGTCTCTCTCTCTCTCTCCCTCTCTCTCCATGCAGGTTTAATGTTGGTTACATGCTGGGTTTGCTGATTTAGCTTACTGGTGTGTAACCTCCATGACAACTCCCTCGAACATGCATGGAATCTGCATGGAAACTCCATGAAACCTGCATCAGTCAGAGTACTGTACAGGATAGGACCGCAATGGAATTTGTGTCAAGAGAAACTGTTTTTTCCCCACCTGCCAGGTGAGGGTTGTTAGATTTTATGTCAGTTGCCTGCTCCTCCTCTCCTCCTCTCCTCCTCCTCTCCTCCTCCTCGTCGTCCTCCTCCTCGTCGTCCTCCTCGTCGTCCTCCTCGTCCTCCTCGTCCAACTGCGACCCGCGATCCACAGTGTTCTCTGTCGGACCTCAACCACGACCATCCATGCTCAGTGTTCCCTGCCGGACCTCAACCACGACCATCCACGTCGGTGTGCCCTGCCGGACCTCAACCATGACCATCCACGCCCAGTGTTCTCTGCCGGACCTCAACCACGACCATCCACGCCCAGTGTTCCCTGCCGGACCTCAACCACGACCATCCACGCCCAGTGTTCCCTGCCGGACCTCAACCGCGAGTATCCACGCCCAGTGTTCCCTGCCGGACCTCAACCACGACCATCCCCGCCCAGTGTTCCCTGCCGGACCTCAACTACGACCATCCACGCCCAGTGTTCCCTCCCGGACCTCAACCGCGAGTATCCACGCCAAGTGTTCCCTGCCGGACCTCATGTAGGAAGATAAAATGTCAGATAGAGTGCCAGAAGATTTGCCAGGTAGAATGCCAGAAAATATGCCAGAAGATATGCCAGATAGATATGCCAGAAAATATTCCAGAAGATATGCCAGATAGAATGCCAGATAGAATGCCAGATAAAATGCCAGAAGATATGTCAGAATATATGCCAGAAGATATGCCAGATAGAATGCCAGATAGAATGCCATAAGATATGTCAGATAGAATGCCAGAAGATATGCCAGATAGAATGCCAGAAGATTTGCCAGATAGAATGCCAGAAGATATGCCAGAAGATATGCCAGATAGAATGCCGAATAGAATGTCAGAAGATATGTCAGATAGAATGCCAGAAGATGTGCCAGTAAGAACATGTATAAATGTCATGGTGGGGATTTCTCTGCGTTGCTTTCATGTAGATTATTTAGATAGAATAGATAGGTAAGGTCACTTGGATAGAGTAGGCATATTAGATAGATCAGATACAAAAGGTAGACTAGGTGGATTAGATAGATTAGATAGATTAATAGACAGACTTGAAAGATTAGAGAGGTTGGATTAGATTAGCTTAGATTAGGTTAGATAAGATCAGAGAAGATTAGACTAGTTTGATAGACAAATAGACAAACAAATAAACAGATATATTATGTAGATATATGAGATTGGTTGATAGATTGATAGATTGATAGATAGGTAGATAGATAGATAGATAGATAGATAGACAGACAAACAAATTGATATATTGGATATGATATATTAGATAAGTAAATAGATAGACAGACAGACAAACAAACAGATAGACAGATACTTAGAAAGATAGATTAGATTAGATTAGATTAGATTAGATTTAGATTAAGATTTAGATTTAGGATTTAGATTTAGGATTTAGATTTAGATTTAGGATTTAGATTTAGGATTTAGAATTAGGATTTAGAATTAGGATTTAGATTTAGGATTTAGAATTAGGATTTAGAATTAGGATTTAGAATTAGGATTTAGAATTAGGATTTAGAATTAGGATTTAGCATTAGGATTTAGCATTAGGATTTAGCATTAGGATTTAGCATTAGGATTTAACATTAGGATTTAGCATTAGGATTTAGCATTAGGATTTAGCATTAGGATTTAGCATTAGGATTTAGCATTAGGATTTAGAATTAGGATTTAGAATTAGGATTTAGAATTAGGATTTAGAATTAGGATTTAGAATTAGGATTTAGGATTTAGAATTAGGATTTAGAATTAGGATTTAGAATTAGGATTTAGAATTAGGATTTAGAATTAGGATTTAGAATTAGGATTTAGAATTAGGATTTGGAATTAAGATTTAGAATTAGGATTTAGAATTAGGATTTAGAATTAGGATTTAGAATTAGGATTTAGAATTAGGATTTAGAATTAGGATTTAGAATTAGGATTTAGAATTAGGATTTAGAATTAGGATTTAGAATTAGGACTTAGAATTAGGATTTAGAATTAAGATTTAGAATTAGGATTTAGAATTAGGATTTAGAATTAGGATTTAGAATTAGGATTTAGAATTAGGATTTAGAATTAGGATTTAGAATTAGGATTTAGAATTGGGATTTAGAATTAGGATTTAGAATTAGGATTTAGAATTAGGATTTAGAATTAGGATTTAGCATTAGGATTTAGCATTAGGATTTAGAATTAGGATTTAGAATTAGGATTTAGAATTAGGATTTAGAATTTGGATTTAGAATTAGGAATTAGGATTAGGGATTAGGATTAGGGATTAGGATTAGGGATTAGGATTAGGGATTAGGATTAGGGATTAGGATTAGGGATTAGGATTAGGGATTAGGATTAGGGATTAGGGATTAGGATTAGGGATTAGGGATTAGGATTAGGGACTAGGGACTAGGGATTAGGGATTAGAATTAGGGATTAGGATTAGGGATTAGGATTAGGGATTAGGATTAGGGATTAGGGATTAGGGATTAGGATTAGGGATTAGGATTAGGGATTAGGATTAGGGATTAGGATTAGGGATTAGGGATTAGGATTAGGATTAGGGATTAGGATTAGGGATTAGGATTAGGGATTAGGGATTAGGATTAGGGATTAGGATCAGGGATTAGGATCAGGGATTAGGATTGGGATTAGGATTGGGGATTAGGATTGGGGATTAGGATTAGGGATTAGGATTATGGATTAGGATTAGGGATTAGGATTAGGGATTAGGATTAGGGATTAGGATTAGGGATTAGGATTAGATTAGATTAGATTAGGATTAGATTAGATTAGGATTAGATTAGATTGGGATTAGATTAGATTAGGATTAGATTAGATTTGGATTAGATTAGATTAGGATTAGATTAGATTAGATTAGATTAGTTAAACAAAAAATAAAACAAATACAAAACACACACAAAAAAAAAATCAAATCTATTTTGCACATAACTCTGATTTCCCAGACTTCCAAACCACCAACCCAAACCGCCATATAAGTATAACCTGAACCTTTGTATAATCAGATTCAAAAATATCAAAAATACAGTTTACACAAGTTTATCCAATTTTGGATCACAAGACCCAAGAAGACCTGCAATTTAATCCATGCTCCGGTGCAACAGCTATAGGCTATCGAATGCTGGGGCCTTTTTTGTGATCATACCCACCAACTTGCCGAAGCGAGACACCAACACCAACCTGGCAGCAATGGGAAGCATCTCAGGCGGACATATGTGGTTGGGAAACCGCACAAGGCCGTGGCGGAAGTTTCAAAGGTAGGAAACATTAGGAAACCCATAGGGAGGTGAGATGCTGCGGTTCATGAATGGCAGAGCGAAATGATGGACCGAAAGTAGTTGATGCTCTGAGTCTCTCTCTCTCTCTCCCTCTCTCTCTCGCTCGGTCTCCTTGTCTCTGTGTCTCTGTGTCTCTCTCTCTCTCTATCTATCGATCTATCTATCTTTCTTTCCTATCTATCATTATCTATCTATCTATCTTTCTATCTATCGACTCTTTCTCTTTTGACTCTTTCTCTTCTCTGACTGCTCTCACAACTGTTGCCGCATCTGTCCATAGGTCGGAAGTTTGACTTCTAAACTTCCTTCGATGATTAGTAGGGAATTGGAAAATCCATAGCTCCTTAGCTCCCTCCGAAGCACCGAATAGAACTAGGTTTCAACTTTTTTTGAGCCAGTCCTAAGCGGTACATCAAGGACCACCCAGGTGTTGCAAAATGCCCTGACCCCTGCCGAGCCGCTTGGCGCCAAGCTCAAGAAAGATCCTCAGATGACCCATGCCATGCTATCCCATGCCCTAGGTGGAGCTAAGATCCGTGGTGTGCGCCAAGGATCTGGTGTACTTGTTCCAAGCGCATCTCGGGGACGATTTGGAGCACCGTGCGGTCCACCAAGGATGAGAGATCCACCATATTCTCCTCATGGGAACCAGGTGAGTAATCTAACATGACACGTGTGAAATTGTTAACAACCAAGATCTGTCAAAAATTGAAAATACTTGGGACTTCTATGAGTTTTGGATCTGTGATTATGTCTCATCTATGCTGGCAATGGAGAACGGCCCCAGGTTCCCGTCCCGTGGCTGGAAAGAAACCAAAGGATTGGTCCTCAGCTCGCAACATCAACACACGATATAGCTATGCCCCAAAAAATGCTGCCGGAAAAAAAAAGAACACCTCAGGTGGGAGTTCAAAGGTTGGGGACCTCAATGTCCCGGTACAGGAAAAAAACTATTGACGACATATGACGACATAATTATATATTTATTAGACATGTTTTATTGACATGTTTTATTCAGTGGGCCTGGTTGGGATGCCATTTTTGGAGACGGACAAAACCAATAAAAAGAACAAGGCAAACCAGTCAGTGTGGACGTCCCTCTTTTTGTGGCAAGCTTCCGGGTGATTCTGACCGGCAAGGCCCTCAAAAAGTCCCTGATGCCCTCTCTGGAAGCATAACCTCAAGGGATATCCTCTGGATCTGCATGGCCTGGAAATGGAGGTTACCCTCTGGTAATTTAACGTAGCTATTGAAAATGACCATTAATAGTGGATTTTCCCATTAAAAATGATGATTTTCAATAGCTATGTTAAATTACCAGAGGGTATTGTCATTTTTGGATACCGGTACCAAATCTTTTTGAAGAACGCACCATAAATCCATAAGAACAGTCGCCATCATCCACTAGAGTCCACTTGGCGCAAGCACAGTCGATCATTCAGGTTTGGTATGTCAACCGCAACCTCAACCTCATCATCATTCAACCATTCAACCATTCAACCATTCAATCAATCAATCAATCAATCCATCCATCCATCCATCCATCCATCCATCCATCATCATCATCATGAAAACCAGCGACCAACCGAGCGGCCCAGGAGGGTGCAATCCTCTGACAGCACCACTGGAAAGCCTCCGTACTCTGCCTTTTCGATCCAAGCACTGAACTCTGAGAGATGACAAGGATCGCAGGTGAGGCATTCAAGAGCCTCATCCATAATGTCATATGCATGGCTCTTTAGTACCACATCACCAGTGGACTCCAGATGTGGATAGCCCCGCAGGTGGATGTGACAATGATCCATGCTGCAGGTGAGGAAGTTGCCAAGCCAGTTGGCCGCCATGATGCAGACCATAAACGGAATCACCAATTGCAAGGCGCCCGTCAACTCAAACCTCAGAACCGAAGTCACAGATCGTTTTCATCTTTAATAAATGGATTAACCCCATTAAATCATATGAAACCACCATTAAATCACAGAAATGGTAATCAACAAATGCGTTTTTCATTTTTTCCTGATAGATGGGGGGATGTACAGTACTATGACGACCTCACCAGCTATGTCAAGGAACATAATCACCACCAAGGAGACATGCACCCGGCAAGTGCCAGCCATTACTGCTGCAGCCCCCACCATGGCATAGATGCCCGGATGGACCGTGGCAAATAAACCCATGCAGTGTGCCATAGTGCAAATCCCGCGACCCATGCAGGCGCCAATGAAGAAGGATGGGATGTAATAGCCTCTCATCGCGCCCAGTGTCTCTGGGAAAAAATGGGTAGATCGAGTGGATCCTCTCCGGCTGCTGAATATCCATGTATTTGCACCGGGCCGGATACAGCATAAATAATTATAATCATAAATAGATTATAGTGTGTATATATATATATGTGTGTGTGTGTGTGTTGTTTTGACTATGATTTAATTATTAGATAGCTATAGGCGATAAGCTATAGGCTATACAGATATTACATTTACAATCATTTACATATACAATTATATATATATATATATGAACACGGTTGAACATGCATGTCTTGCACATAACTAACCATATTCTAGAGAGGTTTCACACTTGTCAAATTCACAAGTCTCCTGTCTTTGTTCCTCTACTGGCCGCCTGAATTTGACCCACAAAACCCCGAAGCTCGGCTGGTGCTCCGCACCTCCAGGCACACCCGAGTCGTAGGTCAAAATCAATTCCAGCCAAAAGAAGCTACCCGCTCCTAAATATGGCCGTTAGATGCCATTCCAAATCTCTCTCTCTCTCTCTCTCTCCAAATCAAGATGAACAATCTTCCAAAGATGGTCCCTTTATGTCTGACAAAGGTGGATTAGGAACGGCATGGGTGGTGATAATCCCGAATATATCAACAAACAACAGCGATTTTCAACACTGCTCACATGACCAACTGAGCATTGGGGAATGGATATCCAAAGCATCCAAAAAATCGGTCAGAGGGGTACCGACCACAGGTTTGTGAACCGACACCCTGTTTGGTGGTTGGTCACCCAACTATTTTAAATTTTGTATTTTCAAGAAAAGAGAATCCCAAAATCACGACATGGTTATCATTGCTTTCCCAGTAAAGATGCCAGAAATTAGAGGTAACTCATCGTAACTCCTCCATTTTGAGACGCCAACTGAGGAGGGTAACACTCAAAGATCCCAGGCTCTTAGCAGGGTCATAGCCAGCTCAGTGGAGTGCACAGGCTCCGAGCCGTGGCACAGTCCGAAGTTTTGGGGGACCTTCGAACCACTCCTTGGTGGATGGGGCGAAAGATGGAGAAAGCATCGATGTGATATCATGTGATATCATGTGATATCTGGATTGCGGAAGTTGCCTACATGATTGAAGTTTATCAGTATACTTGGTACGGTATCAGTATCAGTTGCCTTTTTTTGCAACCGTAGGTGTTGCATGGTGTTGCACAAAAAACTTGTGGGTTCCCTTTTGAGGAGCTTGGCCATCAAGCATACAGCTGGACATGATTCCGGTACGAAGCTGTGCTGTGCTGTCATTTTTTCCTACTCTTATAATAAATGGTGCTCTTTCCAGCGACATTCAAGAACCTCATTGCTAAAGAAGAGGGCAACTTTGTTTTCCAGGTGTGCTGTGGTATATCTGGTCTGTCAGGCAAATCTTGTCATCTGAAGTTTTCGTTTGAGCACCACCATCTGAGTCAAGAATCTGGCAGGATCTGAACAATGCTTCTAGAGCGTCTGTATGCACTTGCAGAAGTGGCTCTAGGGAGAAAGCAGTACAGGACAGGCATGTCACCTCAATGCCACAAACGATCGGGAAAATATGGGAAAATGATCAATGACAGTCATTATCCACTCGAACATGCGTACCGATGCTCCCCCACATTGAAAGTGACATCGACATACGGTAAACTACTCTATAAGAAAGCGTGATTACAGGGAAAACAAGAATAAGGTGGCACCGCTGCTCCAGCAAAGGACGGGAAAACTACGGTCTCTCTTATCAATTTCCGTCCTTTGCACCCTGTCTCTTCATTGGTCACTTTCCAAAGGTAAGGAGGAAAAAAAAACAAAGACGTTGTGTGATCTGTCGCATGGCACCATTGCGATATAAAGCCTCCCCCTCCACGTTGGGCCCGACCATCCGTAGCGGCTCCGAAGTCTACACACGTACATGTTGAACAGCACACAGCCGGCACCAAGTAAGCCGCCCATCAAGCCAAGCATTGCGATCAGGACCTGGCTCCGAATCCAAACCAATCTATGTCTAGCTGAGTCTGGCTGATGATAGTGACGGTAAGCAACAGCACCATCCTCCAGTCCCAACCATCTGGTTATCCAAGCCTGATCTGTCGCTGAGGGAAGGTGTTTATAGCTGCTCCCAACCTCCTTCATCTCCCTTAAGACATCCTTGGGCAGTTGCACTTGGCGAGCTTCTTAACCCAGGGATACCAAGGGTAACACAAGTTTCAAGGCTCGGGCTTCGGCAAACCTCAAGTATCCTGAAGACTTTGGACGCATAGCAGTAGCTACGACTATCGATTATCACTGCTACTCTCTTGGATGTGCTCATGTCTGGGCGCTTCAAGAAATCTTGAAGTGTATTGATTCCAGGTTCCCCACAATTCTGGAAAAAATCAGGGAAAACTGGCCGTGATCAGCGTCAAAATGATGGAACATGTTCAAGTTTCCTGGGAGACCATCCCACTCAGGAGCTGGTTGGCAACAATGCTTATTCAACGTTCTGAATGGAGGAATCCCATGCACACACAAACATACATATATATATATAGTTATTATTATAATTTATATAATATTTACTATATAATTTAAGAATTTAAGATGCACATAGATGATTGGTAAATAATTAGTATATAGACTTCAGACATAGATCACATATATATATATATGTGTGTGTGTGTGTTCAACTTGTGTATATCAAATTAACTCATGGCTATTCCAAATCTATGAGAGTTGGCAACCTTCCCCATAACACAATGCAACAGTTGGCTATACTGGTGTTGAAGATGTTGGCTTTCAGCACCAGATCTGCCACAATGGCTGCCAGAAAGGCAGAGATCAGCGTCTGCTGAGGAAACTGGCTGCCTTGGCACGGCGGCACTGTCAGGTCCCATATCCAGCATAATGCCCAGAAAATGAAAAGACTCGGAGAGTTGTAATATGAGGCTAGGTGATCTCTTTTGCTTGTAACACCTGCAACCCATGTAAACCATTGTCAACCATGATTTACTCGTCTCGATTAGGAAGACCCTTTGTGGCAAGCAGCCAACATGCATCAATCACCCCTGAAGCAAAATTCTGCAGACAGTGGGCATCATCATCCCAAACAGCTGCCAGTAGTTGGACACCAGCCAGTTAATGTCTCTCTGCAACTCCCTGCTTATTCCATCTGATTTTTCTGATTCAAACCATATTAAATAAATTTACATATATCTAAATCATCTCTCTCTTTCCCTCTCTTTCTCAGTCTTTCTCCTATTTTCCCAAGCCTTTGTGGTTTACCAAGCACCATCCAGTGACCTCCAGGCCACTCAGCTCCAAGCTCCACAGGACTCCGCCCAGCGGTGTCCCAAAACCAGCGGAGATCCCAGCAGCACAGGCGACCGAAATCATCTCACGTCGGACCGCCTGTGGCGCAGGAGTAGATCGAGTTAAAACCCACTGGAAACCAACAAACATGAGGAAGTATAAGGATTATATAAGGATTATATAAGGATTATATAAGGATTATATACGGATTATATATGGATTATATACGGATTCTACCGAGATACGAATAAGATACGGATGTATTGATGTACAGCAAGCGCGAGGAAGTTGTGAGATGAGTGGAAACCTCCATCTCTTCAAAAAATCCAACTTCCACAGCCATAAAAAAAAGAAGAAACCAATTCAAACCACTAAGTTTTTCTTCTGTCCTGCCTCGTTCCGGATGGAATCCAGCCGGCAGCAAAGGTCCTGAGTCTTTACGACAAACTGGCCAGAGGATGCCGCTCCCGAGTGACGCCCGCAGAACTGATCAGTCTGAGATTTTGAAATGTGCGACTATATGGGACTATATGATTTTGAGATGTTCATTTCTTGATCCAAATTGAAACTATTGCGCGTCTGAGGATCGTGTTGCTTTCAGCCCTTAAAATCCATGAGCTGCCAGCCCTATCAATTCCATTCAATTCCAAGGGTCGGAACAGCAGGCGGCGAGGTGCATCAACACGCCCACAAAATCCAGACAAAGGCGCGCAGTGGCGGTCAGAATCAACCCAAGGAATCGAAAAAGGAACCTTGTTGGTTGGCAGTTTCAAGACACCAAGCTTTGGAGGTAGGATAGTTGATGGGAAGTTGTGGCACATGTCATGGGAAACTAAGCAACAATCACTCATTGCTTGACATGGGGGGGAATAGCGAGATAAGAGGGCATAAGTATGCAGAAGTCTTATAGTTTCACGACCACACACACAAAACAGTATTAACAGTATTTATATAAAAACCCCATATAACTAATATAACCGTGTTCATTGAATGTGCCGTAAATGATGTAGTTAAGCACTATGTTTGTCTTGCATGGCTCAGTCCATCTGGTTCCAAACCTGCTGCGCCCGGTGCAATAAAACGTAGAACATGGAAAACCACCGAAATCTCAAGGATGGTTATTGAGAAAAGCCTTGCAAACAAGAGTGGGGCCGTCATGAATTACTCTGGATATTTCTGGATCATGTCATGGTCAGAAAGCAATCCTTCGTGGTTTGTGCCACTGCTCCATTGAGTGTCCAGAGATCGGCACCATCGACTGGTGGATTTGGATTTGTACACAATACAGCGGTGACCCTTCAGTACGGCAGAAGTTTGGCCCCAAGTCCCCAGCCCCCAAAAGGAGCAGCAGGACATAGCCGTACACTATCTAATCATATCTAATCTACAAGAAGAATATCAAGATGTAGTGACGAGTCACATCTGAAATGACAGCATTTCATCCATGACGAAACCGTTCAGAATCGTTTTCCTGAGCCAAGCAGGTGAACAGGGGCAGTGACAATGTGATCCTTTACCGTAACGGGCTCATAAATACTGCAACTTGAGCACATAATCATGAGAATCAGGAGTCTAGGGGCAAAACCACCACCACCACCATCATCTCCTCCATCAAATCCAAGTTTCACCTCGGGCATGCCACATCCGCTGCAATCAGCCGAACACCAGGAGAGGCTGGCACTCAGCTGTGTCAAAGGCAATGAAATCAGCAGCACCTCGGACAATCACTCCGATTACCCATAGTTTCTATGGAGATATCATACTGATTAAGCAACACATCTGGGATTTATCATGGTAGAGAATGCTAAGGCCGTTGCATTGGGTACCCAAATGTTGTAATGTTTCAATGCAGCACCTAAAGTTGTAGATTTGGGGTCACAAATGTTGACCCCCCCTTGCCCACAATTGCCCACATATCACCAACAGGTGTTCGAAATTTTGGAGGGTCTTTGATTCCCTTCTTTGTAGAATTCATCGTGCAAACAACATTTCATAAGTAATTACTACCCTAAATTACCCTACAGTAATCACCTGCGGTAAAATATGAAGAAAACATATTTAGCATCTCAAAGAGGGATAAACACAAAAGGCGTGGCATGTTTATGGGACACATCATATCATTACCACGCCGCAGCGAGCTTCACCTTTCAGGGTTACAGCGACTATTTCAAGCACCATTTCGCGAGATATTTGTTGCATATGTTTGAGAACTAGCTGAGGAGAAAAAAAGGAACATCTCTATATGAACATCTGCATATATCTGCATGCATTTCTACTATGTTGTGACTCCCGTTGTTCTGATGTCATTGAGTGAGATTTTGCTGCCCACTCCAACTGCGGTCCCAGGCATAGGTGAAGGAGTCGGTCTCATGGTAGATATGGCGAGTCAGCCCACAACCTGACCAGTAAATCTTCAAGGCTTGGGGCACAAGAACAGCTCATGCCAATGCTAGCCTAATGCTAATCCATGCCATTTTTATATATGTTTATCCATTTTTCATGTCATTTTTGTCCGACAAAGAGAACTCTTGTCGTGGTATGATTGATTGGTGGCTAGTGCATCTTTTTAGAGAGCTTTGAGCAGGCGACATTGACTATATGACACTGGCAATTAAGATCTCAGTCTTCTTCTCCAATGATCCTCAGCATAGTATGACCTGATCTGATGTGCACTTGTCAGGCTGGACCTGCTTCTGGTGATGTTGCCTTTATCAGATTTTATCCGTGCACATCACTGGCATCCCCCAGGGCCCCCGAGTCCAAGGAGCACAGCAACAGAAGGCATCTCACAATGGCAGTGACAAAACCAATGACGACCTGCAGATCTTCAAACCAATGCAGTGGATCTTTTGGAATGTTTACTCTTGTTTCTGTCGGGGGATCTAAGGAATTAACATGAATTAACATGAATTAACAACAAGGAAACCAAATACCTGAAATACCAAGGCTTGTGCCTCACTTTCTGCAAGTCAAGTGACTGGCAAGAAGGTCATGTCCAGGAAGCTTTTCCTGAGCATCTCTGATGCTAGAGGAACGCGCGACACGCATGGAGGTAGGCCACTAAACTAACAAGGGTCTGGCAACATATTCCAAGAAACAAAGGCCTACAATTGTCTACAAAATTGATTAGCTTCTGCTACTTGTACTGGGTGTATGGGCACCTCAACGGTGCCTTGATGTTGACCCAACTCCCCACATCGTTCGAGGTTCAAAGAGCCCCAAAAAATGGGCTGGCTTCTATGCCTCTCCTCCGGCCAGTGAATGGTCACCAAATGCGACAGCCTAGACTTCGCTTTTCCCTCGTGCCGCAACAGCACGCTCGGTCGCGAGGCCAGCAATGGTCGTGCTTGCAAGTCCTGCCTTGGGAGCGGTGTGCTGCAATAATTCAGCACCAAGCGAACGAGCCCATTGGTCAATTCTTATATAAATTAGATTAAATTAGTCTGACACCATCCAGCAATTTCATCCAATTTTTTGGGGCCGATACTATTGAGCCATGGCCATTTCCAATAGTTCAGTGGACTGAACATGAGCCGAGGTCTGCATAAAACATGTGTGCGACTTGTGCACGCTTGTGCCCACAAGATCCAGCGGGACACTTGGGTGTTTTGGAGAGAAATGTCCTGTGAATGTGTAGTGAGTGAGGCGAACGATGCGAAAAGACTGGCCACACAAGTCCTCTTGCAAAAACAAGAAGAACGGCTTAAATACATTTAAAAACCAGGCCCAGCGACACCACCTCTTGGCGAATTGAAGTCAAACTTTCACATCTCCTCAGCTGTCTCAGCATGGCTCGAAAATGTTTCAAATGATTCAAATGATCCAACATGATCAACGCATTCAATCCCTCTGCGTATTCATCTGGGCTATCAGACTAACCTCAGTCATCCCCAGCCACTCTCCATGTATCGCCAGTATAGTACCCGAACCATTCGAAGCATCCCCGCTCTGTGTCGTCCCCTCTAATTTTTAAGACTTTCCATTTGTGGCAAAGATTGGGTCCCCCTTGATTTATTTTAGCTCTTTTCCAGCTGTTTTGCTAGTGATTTCAAATAACTGTTTTCTCAGTGTTCGCTCATTTAATTGGTATTGGTGTCCACCTGGATCGTCCCTAAGCCGATCTTAAAGCAAAGTACTAGACGATGGCGGGTCTCCTGACTGTTGCTGCTATCTTTCACCAACACCTACAATTTACAATAGCTGATCTTGTAGGCACCACGGCCCCTTCTCGCAGATTTGCGTGTGAAAAAATGTGAAAGCCATGCTGGCGGCCTGGGAAGGTGCTCCCTCTAGCTGATCCTACACTGACTGTAGCAAAAAACTGACCATGTTTGGCCAAAAACCAACGCCTCAAAAAATATGTTTTTCAAATAGCTAGGGAAAAAAAAACAGAAAACAAGCTTTAATTAAAATTAAAAAAAAACTACGAAAAACAGCTAAAACCTCGAATTTTAGTTGTTTTGCTAGCTGTTTTTCTAGCTTTTCCTGAAAAAAAAACAATTCTCCAGGGAAAAAAACAGCTAGCAAAACCGCTAACCAAACAGCTAGCAAAACAACTAAAACTTCGAGTTTTGGCTGTTCTGCTAGCTGTTCTGCTAGCTGTTTCCTAGCTGTTTCCTGGTGATTTTTGCTTCCAAGCTGAAGGGAAAGCAGGAAAATAGCTAAAACTCGAAGATCTGCGGGAAAAACTAGCAAAACAGCTAAACGCAGGCGCAAGATGGCGCAATCACATCGCGTGAAAACCAGCGGGCAAAATAGCTAATCCATGCTAATCCAAAACACTACAGTACAGAAACAACTATGTATAACCGCTAAAAAATAAATGTGACCCTCTCTCAGTGCTTCCCACGCTTCCAAGTCTTAACTCCAGAAAAAAAATGATTGAATGGATTAGACCCTTTCGCTCCTGGCCCCTTGTCTCCTCAAATGTTTCCAATTTATCATCCGAGAGTCTCAGGAAAGGCGACGGCGGGGTGCGAGGCTTGTCGACAATATGCATCCACATAGGGGCAAACCTCGCTTTCCTCACCAGGATGTGCGGCTGCTGTGGCCATGATGATACGTTCCAGAACTATCATTCCAATTGCAACATCCTGTGACATCCTGCAAGCCTGCAACGTCCTGCAACTCCGAAATGGAAGATCCGAAAACTGAAGCGGAGAACATCCCAGAACTAGGATGAGTGATCAGGAGTGAATCATTTCCAGTGTTCAGACATGTCACGATGTCCAATCTAGTCCCAAGTTGAAATTCGGTCCTCGATTTTTATCTGCACTGGTGGTACTGCCGCTATTGTCTTGTCTTCATTCTGCTCAAGCCCCTCACTCAAAAACTTCAGAAAGGACCTGGCGAGTCTTGGGCAGACTTGCAGCGCAAGAGTAAGGCCACGGAACCCTGAAATCTGGACCCAACCTGGCCTCTACCAGTTGGTTAATGGCAACATTACCAATTTCTTGATACAAATAGTGATAAGTGGTGCCCGGGCAAGCCGGGGGCAGAAGTTTCAAAATTGAAACGCCTATATGTATATATATAGCCTATAGCCTATAGAACGGAACAAAGAATGTGCCTATAAGGTGCGGCAAAGCCTTTTGTGCTTTGCAGCAACAATCTGCCGACTTTTCATTCCGGAGCCATCTCTTCTCAAGGTTAGATGTTTTCTCATTTTTATCTGACCTCATCTCATCTCATCCCACTTCATCTGAACCAATGTCCTCTCATCTTCTCTCATCTTCTCTCATCTCCTCTACGACTCTACCGTGCGGCAGACCCTTCTCCATCCATCGCACGTCTTGTGCTGCAAAACGCAGCGTTTCGTACATCCGCTATCTCTCAAAGACGCATTTCGCGCGTGACTTCCCTCAAAACGAGAATGTTGAAGATGTGACAACAAAGCTTTCATGCGAGACTTCCTTCAAAAACTGAAAGTTGAAGATGTGAAAATATGTGAAAACGAAGCTTTCGTGCGAGACTTCCCTGAAAATGAAAGTTGACAATCATTGCTGTGACAGTCATTGGTGTGACAATCATTGCCGTGACAGTCATTGCAGTGACCTCCAAAGATCTGTAACATGAAAGTCTACCCTCTGGTAATTTAACATAGCTATAGAAAATCACAATTTTTAATGGGAAAATCCACTATAAATGGCCATTTTCAATAGCTATGTTAAACTACCAGAGGGTAGACTTCCAAACTTCCTGTGATCATGGTATTTCAATCATCCTCTGACATGATCCAGGCGACTTTTTGGTGATGATGCCCACCAGCTTGCCCAATTTGGTGACCATGATCAGTTTGGATCCCACGTGCCGGAAGATGCTGTGGATCCTAAAAATTGCGCCGGTTTTTTCGGGTCAAGAATAGGGTACCAATGGTAGCAGAAATTATTAGCATGATATAATAACTATCTATAATAACTATCCACTTTTTCGGGGCCAATCGTTTTATTGATCGAAAATTATGAAAGTGAAACACGAGCAAATTTGAAAGAATGCCATCCACCTCCCTGTGCAAAACCCCCATGTCCGATCCAAAAAAAACTAATCAGGCTTTCTTGGGGATTCTTGGGGAGGTTTGTGTAGCGAAAAAATGTGTTTCAAGAACTTTCTCCATGCACCTCAAAGTACCCATCTGAAAACCAACGCTGGTCCCCAAAATCAAGATTTGGAAAGAAGATATCAGAAAACATAGAAAGAATCCGAAGAAAAGCCCTTTAAAAATGGGAAAATGATCTTCCGACCTCAATTTTCTTGGGCTCTTCCCGTGTTTTCCACGTGAAACAATCAGGTCACCGACAGCAGGCTTCGCCATGTCTCTGTGACGCCGGGGTGTCGGGCACCACCAGCAGCACCGAGGTGTCGACCAGCTTCGAGGCATCCAAACAGCCGCCAGATCCGCCAGTGCCATGGAAGGAGACCATGGAATCAGCATAACATCCTGAGATGGTGAAAATTCATGGGTTATCATGGTTAGTCTATGAGAGATGATATCATCTATGGTGCAGTCTATGGTATAATCTATGATGTAACCATGAAAACTGTTGAGTAGCATTAGTTTAAGTGATATCTTATAGTGTAGCCAACCAAGGCATAAAATTATAAATCATATTCAGCCATCTGAATCTGGAGATGGCCATAGAACATATGTATATTGTAGCGTGTATATATATATATATATTAAATAAATAAATAAATATACACATATGAATAGCGGACAAAAAATATGTTAAATTTAATGCCATGCGCAAATTAGGGTTGTCCTCTATCGGTTGTGAGGATTTCAGTACTCCCGGAGGTATCACAATTGGGGTATCGGTATAGGGTCGTCCCCTATCGATTATGAAGGTTTTGTGCAACCTCAGAAAAGCCAAGGCAAGGCAAAACTAAATTGTATAGTATTACAATAATTTTGTCAGTTACTCATATATGAATGGTCATTCAAATGGGAAAATCATCCATGTTCCATTGCAAGAGGGTACCCTCTGACAATCCAACAATCTAATTTATCAACCAACAATGCCAGATCTACCAACAATTCATTGAAAAAGTGGACTATAAATACCTCCGGCATCCTCTGGGTTACCGTTTACAAAATATATAATGGCCATGGTTCCGTATAATTATAAACTGCTGAAGGGACCCATAGTTGTAAACACAAAAATATCAAGCGGAAGTGGTGAATCAAAATCAACTAGCGGCTTCAGTTGGTGGTTTGGATTGCTGCCTCAAACCTTATCACTAAGGGATTGGGAATTCAAACCACCGGGACCCACACTGTCAGTTTACCATAGCTTGGAAAAAATGTTGGTGTACGGTCCGTACGGTCGTTTATCATCACTTAAAATGAGCATTTAATAGTAGAGGTTGTGAGGGTGACCCCTCCATTCATCAACCAACCAATTGGGAAAGGACATCCATGGTCCCTTTGAGGGGACCATTTACAGGAAACCCCAATACAAAATAGAATATGTATAACTAAATTACAAATGTATAATAATTTAAATTATCATACTTACTTAACCTTACATATATGTATTATATATATATATGATATATGCATATATATTCATATATTATACATGTAAGACCCACTCCAATGATCCCGGTTGTCCGTGACCGTCTGTCCATAGCTTACTAAAATCGCTAGCATGGGCGAAACGACTGATACCCAAGGGAAATTCACAGTGTCACAGTCAATCCTCTGAATTGAGACGGTCGACTAATTCAAGGAATTCACACCGTCCAAACAGTGATTCAAGGAAATCACACTGTCGCATACTGTCGCGCACAACATGCTCCATGAAAATCTGATTTGTCAACCCACCTAATTTGTTTGCGTTCTTCTTGTCGTCCTTGATTTTCAACCATTGTCGGCATAACTTAATATAGCACTGGAAAATGTGCCACTGTGCCACTCCTCAACTAAATATGTAAATCTACGGATCAGGGGTGTTTCATTGCCATGTGTCCAAACATGGCTTGGATATGATGGGGCATACCGTGTATTACAGTCTTTTCTCTTGGCCGCCTACACATTCGTTCTCTGATATATAATATATGATGATAAATATGGATTAATGGGTGTTTTTTCTTTTTAGGCTTGCTCATTTGAATCATTTAGGTTCGGGAAAAACACAGTCGAAGAAAAACTCCTAATGTCCCATGAAGGAAGAAAATTGCTCCAACTGAACTGCCTCAAACACATCGATTGAATCATCTGCATCCCTGGGCGTGGCTTTTTTGAAGGCCACAACGAACCTGATGAGTTATAGCATGTTATAGCTGTGCGGATGATCCATCATGCAGCGATTCCTCTTTCTTTTTGACTTTCTTTGGTGCCTTTCAGTGGTGATGCAGTTGAAATAACCCACCAATCAGCAGCATGATTCGCATGGATAGATGTAAGGCTGTCAAGGAACAACTGCCGAAAACCATATGATATCTAGTTCTCAAGTTTAGGCTAAGATGGCCAAGCCGGAGCTAAAACCTGGACAAAGAATCGAGAGGAGGACAGCTGCTCTTCCAGAAACTCCTGCAAAGGTTTGGCCAAGACATAACCCACCACTGAGAGGTCCTCGCTGCTGTTGACCTTAGCTGATGCAAATCCGCAAGGATCAAATCGACAGGTCCCAACAACGCCATGTGCAGTCTATATGCCAAAACTCCTGCTGCACCATCTCCAACCACACAGACTAGGGTGTGTCTCAGAATGGGTATATGGATGTATATGGTATAATTACTATACTGTCTCTTCATCGCCATGGTAGATGTTCAGAGGAAAAGTCATGATCAACATGGCGATCCACCACCACGGCACCACTGGGAATCCTGCGAAGGGCGCCTCCCTGGCATCGTGCAGCACTGTCTCTACGGAGGCCTCCAGGGCGACGCAGTGCAGATCCTCCTGCATGACGTCGCCTCCCGGGTGGCTGGTCAAATTTCTCGCTTTCTGGGAAGATCTTGCAAAATCATCAAAATCCTGATTTTTGTGGGAAAAGATATGCAACATCCAGATTTTCACTGGGAGTTTCTTTTCTGTTTTGCGGGCCGGGATTTAAAGTACAATGACTATGGCATACTATATGAACATGTGTATTTTCCAGAAAATGTGTGCTTTGATAGAGAACCCACTAGAAACCCTGATCCGTTGGAGGTTATTGTTGTGGGGGTGAGGTTTATTTGACCTAACTCCTTGGGCAGCCAGGAAGGGCGATTGATTGCTATGTTGTATAGACAGCAAGTTGAATGCATCTGACCAAGCCCCAAACGATGGCGATTCCAAGCCCCAAACAAGGCCAATTGGATCCAATTGGATCTTCCTGTCATATGTTCAAGCCAACTTCACTGGGCCTGCCCACAGATTTGTGACCTATGATTACTATTGATTACTATGATATGCTATAAGAGGGTCGTTGGTTTTCCGCCACTGCCCAAGCCACATGCACGCGCAGAGTAAGTAATCTCGCAGGGCTCGTTCAGAAAGGGATAGCGACGCAAGTGTATGACGCATTCATAAATACCTTGGCCATGGTTCGTTACTGGAGGGATCAGCTTGTAAATTACCAGCCTGGAAAGCTGCATTATATAAAGAGGCTTCGTTTTACAAAAAGAAAACAACCAAAACAATGCCTCCCGGACATGTTCCATCATCTTTCTTCATTTTCCATCATTTCCCTTTTATTTTCCCTTCGAAACGCAATAATGATCTACAGAATGTGGCTTCGTTTTTGGGGGCCGGGCTTGGTCTTTC